TGAAATTGTTGTTTGACATATTTTTAGCCACGAGAGACCACAGAAGTACATTATATTGAGTTGACTCCAAATAATTTTCACATGAATTACTAAAGTGCCAGAAATGTATAATTCATTAGCATTTAAATAAATCACAGAGCAGGAGTGCTTTAAGCTTATCAGTATAAGATGCACACGAGATTGTAATTACCTGAAAAATCCCCTCAGATACGAGAGCCACAACTGTCCCACGCTCACTTGATCAAGGCAAAGTGTGACAAACAATACAAAAGGKGTTCGACGGCAAAATAAAAAAGAAAAAATAGAAAAAAAGAAATATAAAGAATAAAATAAAGAGCCCCCCTGAGGAGTGGGGCTGGATGCACGGCTCTTGCTGAGGCGCTCTCTGGAGTTCAGAGCACAGATCTCCGCCACGTGCAGACGCATTCAGGAAACTTCCGCAGCTCACACACAGCCTATCGACTAGAAATCCGCTTGCAACCTCCAGGTAAATGAGCCCGTGCTGGGGAAAGGGCCGGCCCGGCCCATACGCCCGTTCCTCGCTGTCCCTTGTCCTCCCATGACAAACACCAAAGCCACCTACGGAACATTATCAAGTCTGAAGCTGCAGTCACTCCAAATGGCAACCCTCAGCAACTGGCTGCACATCACATATAACCGTGTGGGATGTCCTTTGCAGAGAAGACACTATTGAACCCAAACAGCCGCAGAGCTGTCCATCCTCACCTGATCGATCCCAGCATGGGAAGCTGGAGGCACTTCTGAGAGGCAGCCAGGGTGGGATTGGGCGTTCCCTGCACGGCGTCAGAGGGGTCCTGCCTCACGCATGCAATATTCACGCAACCACAAGTTAAAARAGTCTCTACATCAGCTTTTTCTATTAATAAAATTTCACAAGACATATGGAAGCTGCAAGAACGCAGCTAAATAAGTTTATAAACTTATTTATAGACAAAGTGCAAGACACCAAGCAGGGAAATATTGAAAAAATGCAGAAACAGTTTATAAAACCCTACATCATAATAACTGCGTTTTCCAATGCAAAAGCACATTTAAGATTAAATTGAAAACAAAATAAGCAAATGACAGTAAACCACATTAAATTTCCTGCATGACCACTGYGAGGGTCAAGGGAAGATACTGCTTTAAAATCTATTTCCTGTGAGATGAACATAAATCCTGTTTTACATGGTTTCCAATGAACTTTCCCGCGCCAATCTGCGTCTCTGGGGACACAGCTGGGAATGCAGCTTGCGGAGGGGCTCGGAGGCGGCCAGGGCAGCGAGACCAGGGCCGGGGTTGAGCAGCGGCGCCCGCTGGCACCCAGGAACGAGCCCCAAGAGAAGGCCCTGCAGGAGGGAAGGAGGTTCTTCCCAAAGGAAGATCCTGAACACGCTGACGTAGGAGACGATTGGGGAGATGGACGTGGGAGCCGGGTCTCCATCCCTTCTCAGCCCTCCCCGCCTGGGCTCAGGGGATCCCAGCTGGACCCGAGGCCAAGCAGCTCTCGGCCCTTCGTGCGCCGCTGGTGGCAGTGCCAGCGCTCGAGGGGCAGAGGGCCCGTTGCAACGCTCCTGCTCTGCACTCTGCCGCTCAACACAGGCAGGCACAAAGCACCGCCTAGGTGAGGCAACGCCAGACAGACATTTAAAGCATTCAGACGCCTGAGATGCTGCTTAAAAGACAAACAAGCAAAGCGACAAAATGCCGACTGCTTTAAGCTAAACATGGGGCTCGGATGCTTCTCGCCTTGAGCAGAGCCCGCTGGAGGTCCCCTCGAGCGAGGGATTTCTGTCTTCTCCTGCCCTCTGCAGGGTAACTTCCAGGCGCCAAGGAAGCTGCTCCAGCCGGCGCCTCCCTGGTTCCGGCACCGAGCTCCCGGGCCGAGCAGGGATCCTGCGCACGGAGGACGCGCACCGAGCAGGCTGCGAGCGCTCCGCCACCAGCGCGCAGCGCAGCCGCCCGTCCCAGCGCGCGGAGCCCGAGCCGTCAGTGCCCTCCAGGCCCCGGCGTCGCCTCCAGCCTGCTTTACTTACCGCATCCCTCCGGGAGCAGCATCGCTTCTCCGCGCCGCCCGGCTCTGCTGTTCTCATCTCTCTGCCCGTGTGAAGTGTCCCGGGTCCGGCACCTGAAACACAGCCGCCCACCTTGCACTTAGCAGGCATCAGCGGGGAACTATCGCCCTAGAGGGATTCTGGGCAGAAAAACAGAAACACAGAGAACTCTCCAGTTAACCCACTTACATTTTGATCATTGCAATCACAGCTTCAATCAAAAACAGCAGTGAAAGCCACACAAAAACCTCAGAGAAATATTTGCAGTAGCTTCCAGGCTAGCTCACCTGGTTTACCTCTCTAACTCTGGATCTGCACGCCAAATTACATGTAAGTAATCTTAATAAATTCTTGCAAGATGCAGACTAAGAATTAAGTGATGATTATTACAGGTTTGTGCAAAGAAAAGCGAAATAAGGAAAGATTCCAAAAATCAATTAATGATAAAAAAAAAAAAAATCTGTCTCAAAGCCACACAAGTTTATCATTAAAAGTATCTTTAAAGGCAGAGAAAAGCTAATTCATGTTTTTAAAATACTTACATTGCAGGAGCAGAAAGTAGTGCAAGGAAGATGGTAATACAAATATAGCAAAATACAGCAAAGAGTACACACAGCTCTTAAATGCCATTAAATACATTGCAGGCTTTTTCCTCCTCCTCTTCCTGTTAAAGCAGGAGTACAGGGAAGAAAGCAGGAGAGAGAGTGAAAATTCATTTCCTTGTAAAACAGGTGCCAAGGAAACACTTTGCATTTCCAAAGCTGATCACAGCACCGTGTCAGTGCAGGTGAAAAAGGAATGAAAGACGCTTTTAAACCCTGGGCAGGGAAATCTTTGCATTCACACAAACTGTATACGAAAGAGTAGAGGGAACAGATACACTAGTGGCAGAAACACAGACTAAGACATAGAAAATTATTTTTGCAACTAAGTTGCAAAATTGTTAATTCACATTTACAGAATTTCTAGTTTTGCACACGCTATTTTCCATGCCAAAATCAGATTACTGGAACAAAAATCATAGAACCCACCCTAGTTCCTACTCAGCCAAAACCATCTTCCCCTTTATGTAAAACCTGGTTTTATATGAGCTTCTCCCAGACTTAATGGATTGCCCTCCATGCCAGGATTTAATCAAGATTGGTTTGTGTGGGTGTGTGTCTCTTTCTCCAATTTAGTGCTCATAAGTTGAGCTATAAAGATATTTTCTAGCTGCTTGTTTTACTTCATAGCTAATGTTCATGAGTAAAACTGTACACGTATTCCCACATACAACCCTCATCACACATACCTGTGGGAAAACAAAAAACCAAAACAAAAAGTGATAAAGCTCTTTTTGTGAGAGTTGTATTTTTTTTTTGAATGGTTCACCAGTCAGATTTATTTTTTTAAGTTAGAATTTTCTTTGCATTTTCTAAATCTTGAACCATTCCATAGTATCTTTATTGCAAAAGGTCAACATGCATCTTAGAAATTCAGATTGTAATCAATAAAACAAACATTACATATATGAATTTAAATGTATAAACAGTTAGAAATCCAACAATATCTCCTATTATACTATTACACAAGTTCACAATTTCGTAAAAACTATAGTACAGTTTACTATACACCAAGAGGAACTTTATTCCTTTTCACATGATTTTGTTAAAAAAAGAAAAAAAGAAGTTATGTTTTCAACAGTAGCAGGCAAGCACATTCAGATTTATCTTCTCAAGTCCCGTTCTTTCTTTTTGTTTGTTTTTCCTTTGCTTAGCTCAATTCAACAATGAAAAAAAGATGAAGGATTGTTCTTCCCCACAATTACTTCCCCTTTTTACCACGTACTCTTTCAACGTTCATAAACTAGGTTTAGATTGGTAACATCTTATTTTACATATCCTGTAAATAACACTGGCTTGTGTATGTAAGTTACATTGGCGATTATAAGTTTTAATGAATTCTGAAAGTACATACTAGTTTCACAATAAAATTTTACAATTAAAAATAAAATAAGCTGTACTGACATGTTAGCTATTAAAAATAAAGTTTAATATAGCCTACTACACCCTAAAATACAGGGAGATCCATAAATTCTGATGAACTGAAGGTCGCTTTCAAGCAGCTTTCCTACTTCTAACCCATCAGAAAGCAGTTACTCCTATCCTGCCCATCACTTAAATTCCCAATAATACATCAACATGCTTTCAATACACAAGCTAAGCGCAGGGGCAAAACTCATTTTGGTGCCCCAGCGTTTAGAAATGATGTTTGGATGTCACTTGAGGATTCGTGTAAGCCTGCCAATGTGCACTCGAAAAGAGAGGGGAAAAGAAAACCCACGTATGAAGCTCTTCAGAATTCATTAAATAAAGCTACTGCACATGCTTCCCTCCCATCTCCCCCAGCTTGAAAAGCCAGCATGTGTGAGGAAGGGCAAACATGTCCATGAGAACAGCGTGCCAACCAAATAACATTTTGGAGCTAAAACCATATGAAAAGGAATCCCAGTCTAAGTGTGTCAAAGACTACCGCAATTTTTCCTTACAGTTTCATTCATTCATTCACTGTAATCTTCAGTTTCCAAATACAAAAATACAACAATTCTTATTGAAATCTATACGCTGGTAGTTTTAGTACACAAAAAGGAAATTATTTACAAAATTATACAGTTTAAGAAAAACCTCTGTACAAAAAAATATATAAATCCTTTGTTCCCTCCTTTATTTTTTTTTTAAACCGTCAGGACTCAAATGTTTGATGCAATAGATTTTTCAAAATTTACATTGACTGAGCCACAGACAAGAAAAAAAAAACACTAAAGATGGTAGGAGAAAAGCAAGACATTCAAAGTATACCGGGGATTGTTTTTTTCCTCTTTTTTTTGTATGTAATTTAGCTTCAACATTAGCAAGCAAATTAAAGTTGTATAGAGAGGTGACATTTTAATGTGAAGTGAAAGAATACTGGAAGACATATTCCTTCCACTAATAAGGAAATGCAAAACTACATTGTTGGGCTTTTTATTATCCACTTGCTGTGGTGGCGTATAAAGTTTGGGGAACTCTTAACCCAAAGACTTGCTCAGTTTCAGCTCCCTGGCTAAGTTCAGACCTATTCTACCTCTAAGGTCCTGATGCATATTTACATTCACTCAGGAACTACCTAGTAAATATCCTAATAAACTAATTATTCAAAAGAGGAGAGCATTTTTGCACCGTCATTCAGTTTATTTTGTACAGAAACATACATAAAAAGTGTACTGAAAGTGTACGGTACGAATGCAGAGAGTTAAGGAAATGCTTGCTATGTAACACCTCTGTTCATGAGCTGTAAGAGCCACGTAATAGTTAAGATATATGGCTCAAGCACTTAAATTTGTTATCCTAATTTCTATCACATTTTTGCTCTGTGTGTGTGTGTATACATCCATGGATATATGCTAAAGTGATACCAAGATAAGGCAACTGAGAATATAACGGTGTTCACTTCAAATACGTCTAAMATCACATTTAAGTGAATAATCCTTGAAAAACCAAGTCTGAACATTACTCTGAAGACAGCACTTAGAGTGTTGGTTTAATGCAAGTCTTTGGGCAGGTAACTGACATTCTAATGGCTAAAAAAATAACTTGCTCTGAGCACTTCATGGATTTAACTTGAACATAAATAAAGGTATTAAAAATTTGGTTAAAGGGAGAGGAGGAAGAGGTGATCTTGTGTGTGTAGGTGCACGCAYGCACACAGGTGCCAGCTCAGTTTTCTGAGAAGCATGAAACTCATTTTATCTGTGTTCACTAATATTGAAATGAAATGAACAGCCTAGCTCTGATTTTAAATCTTGCACTGAAACAAGACAAAAATCAATAGCAAGTGAAAATTTACTCAGATCTGTTCCTTGTTGTTGCTGGGGTTTTTTTGGTGAAGCAGGATTGAAGAGCGTGAGCTACAGCTGGACAATATTATAGTAATACCCAGTTAAATCAGTTGTTTCAACTCCTTTTGCACAAAGTAGTAGAACATGGAAATCGTGTGGTCTCCTGCAAAATAAATGATTTGTGAACTTAGCCACAAGTACTTTCTACAATAGGTCATTACAGATGAAATAAAATGCTACGTCAATTAGTAAATGAGGCATTTTTTTCTTTTATAACATTTAATGGAAACTTGTGTGTCTTTTCCCCCAAAGTTATAATATTGCTAAATAAAATCTTTAACATCTTTTCAATTATAAACTAACAAAATAACCACATTATAAAAAATCCAAAATAAGATAAAACAGGCGACACAAAAAGAGGACAAGAAAATACTATTTTTGTTTTCTCTTTCTCTTTTTATCATTCTTAAATAGAAAAATCATCACCCCCAGTGAGCTTGATAATTCTGTAAAAGTTACTGGGCCTTTGGCTAGCTTAGTATCACAGCTCCATATGCGAAATGTTTTTTTAACAACCTTTGCTTGCTTTAAATCTTGCAGTTTGAAAAGAAAGTAAAGCTTTTTTGGCTCATCAACTTTCTTAAATAAATGTTTAAAAGATGTAGCTTGAACTATACTCTTAAAATTATACATTTCCAACATGAACTTTCATCTTCTCCAAGACCGGGATTCATCTTCATCTTCGTCGTCATCATCATCATCTTCGTGCAAAAATAAATCTGAGGTTTCAGTTTCCTAGATGAAAGAAAAACATGGTTTCAAAGTGTTCTCCTCTGCATCCCAGGCAACCTGTCATGCAACAGACACCAGTTGTGCTTCATAGCAAGTTAATGTCTCCAGTAAGTCCCACTGAAATGCACAAAATTACATTCAACAAGTTTTTAAGCAATGAACAGTACTCTCATACATCAAGAGTGGGAATGAAAGTCAAACTCCAGAGGAAGCAAGAATTAAGAACCACTGTTCTCTAAAACAGCAGCTTTCCATTAAAAAGCAGCTAGACAGAAATCTCTCTCTCGGTCTTAAATCATTCTCATAGTAAGAATAATACTTCTCTTACATTGGAGCACCAATATTGCAAAACAAAAAGCTTAGTAGTCTGCACATGGAGATTGTGAAGTTTATTTTCTATCAGCTTACCAAACTAAGTTTTTAGGAGTGGGACATTTTTCCATTTTTCTCTCTTTTTTTTTTTTTAAATACGGAATATACACCCATCCATTCAAAAATAGTTAAGTTTCTAGTTTGTAGAAAAATATTTTTCATTAATTTATTCAATAAACAGAAAAAGAAGCATCCCCCCCAAAAGCTCTTAGCTACTGGATGTTCTCCTACCTCTTCTTTAGATTCCTCTTCCTCAGTTTCTGTGGACACAGAGGGTACCTTAGGTTTGTACCATGATATTTGCAGCTTTCGGTCTTTGAAGCGGGATCCTTGGTTAGCAGCCTAGATTGTATTTTAAATGAACATATTTTCAAAAAGTGAACCAAGTATTCAAGATCACAAAAAAATGAACTAGACTCATTCACTGCAGTTGTGTTTATTTGATCTTCTCAAACACGTATCTGGACCATTCAACTTCAGTCACCTTGAGAGCAACTTCACACAAACCTGAATCTACTAAATAACTATCTACCAGCATTATGTAAAAAAATAGCATTGATTCAGGTAATCGATCATTACACTGAACCTTAAACAGAGACAGATCACTAGTCAAACAGGAAATTCTTTCTTCAGTTACATGTAATAACAACAAATATCCACATTATCTAATTCAAACTGTTTAGCTCAAAGCCTGCTGAATTCAAAAAGACAGCTAGTCACAAGTAGTTACAATATTCCTATTTTAGAATCACAGAAGAACAAAATCATTATTGTACTTACATTCTCAGCTTCTGAGCGGGATTTAAAAGTTAGAACAACACTTAGTGGGGAATCCTCTTCTTGAAGGTCTTCTATATCTCCAAATTTCTGAGGGGGGAAAAACAAAATTAGGAACAGCTATAAAATGCTCCTCCAGAAACATGACTAGCATGTTCTACAAGGGCAGTGTACTGCATCACAGCCTCATTGAAACACTTTTTTTTTTCTCCAGAGAGAGAAGAGAACCAAAGAAGCCTCAGCATCATCATCTAGTAACAGTGCAATATTTGCACCTGCTTATTTGGATTAAAAAAAAAAAAGTAAAGTTTGCCCTACTACGCGAAGAACTGGAAAGTTCTGTGTTTCCACTCAAAATGAAACTAGGCAAACTTTCAAATTCTCTAAATAGTCTTTTTGTAACCAGATTTAACAAAAAGAATTCTACAAAACTAGCTTTGCCAATTCAATCACTTGCTTTGCAAAGATCATCCAGAAATACCACAAATTAATTTGATCAAGGTTTGATTTCATGCTGTATTTGTTTACAAAGAATTGTATAATCTCCTTGAAAAGCTAACTAGTTTTGCAAATGAAAATACTTCACCAGACAGGGTAACTGAAGAAAATCTAAAATCATGTTTTTCTTTATTAACTCATTTATGATGCTAATGCTACACCAAGCTGGGTGGAGTGGCC